CCCATATCAGAGGAATTGGGAGGCCAGGATTCACATTCCTGGTTGACTTCTTTACTCAACGTTTGTAGCCAAGCAATCACCGAGCTTCTGCCCATGTACCCGGTTGCCCGGGCAGTCTCATCTCTATTGAAATCCTCCTTGGTGTGGTCTATAACCTCGTTGGGGCCGATAGAGGATTGACGGGAGGGCGGATCGGACCCAGAGTTCCATGGGGGGTTCTGTTCTCCAATTGATGTGCCGGGCATGTCTGATGGTACGTTGAGTTCCAGTGGCATTTCCTGCCCTCGCTTAGCACTTTGAGGTGACTGAGAAGGGCGCACTCATACCGCTGCTAGGGCAATGCTCATCAGTCGCTCGTCGGAAACCCCAAATCGACTACTCAGCTTTCTGATTACGTCTTCATATGCTTGAACCTTGGCTGACAGGCTCGCTAGTTGCCTTTTGAAGGTTATCAAATATGTCTCATTGAAAACAACGTTGATCTAGGGCTCACCTTTTTGACTTTTCCCTTTTACCATCTGTATAGCAGCAGATGATCCCAGCTTCGCGGCAATTCCGGCATCCGGATTTATCCCCTGTACATTTTGTTTTTCTTTGCCTGCAAGACTCGCATGCCCGCCGTACGTGACGGCGATGGAATCTACCAGGAGATGTGAAGGCAGATTCGGTTCCTTCAGTCAACCTTGGGATAGCCATCTTTCGGCTGCCCAGTCTTTCCGATTCGTTTTCTGACAGCCGGGGGATTGAATTCTCCTGCATGAAGACAAGTCAGCTGATAGGTTTTTTGACCGAAAGGGGGAAAACTTACCACTTGAGGCAATTGAGGAAAGCCTTCTGCGTCAGTACAAGGCAACTTGAAAAGATTTGATTGATCTGCCCAAGGTTGAAACTGCAAGCCGCTCATTGTGATTCGCAAGGATTGGCGTGAATGTCTGTGGAGAGAATCACATTTCAGTAGCTGCGCTTTGATGGCAGTATATTTTGACAAGTACCTGTCATGAGTATACTCTGAAGGAAGCTTCGACGGTGGGAGAGTTTCACGCCGAGAGCATTATGTCAGTTTTACCTAACAGAGTCGGTTAGGATCTCTCAGAACCGCCAAATATGTAGCAGCAGTGAGTCCTAGACAATTTCTTTTGGCAGTGCTTCGAAGGATGAGGGGTAGATGGCCAGATAACAAGCCTCAGTTGTTTGTCTCTTGGGAAAGGCATTGATCATGAGCAGCAAGAGAAGATCTTATCCAAATCACATATCCCCCATATTCGGAGAACTTAGACCGGAATTTAAGTGCGAGGTGGAGAACATCCCCGTACCCTGAAAAGTAGGGAATGTCCCTTATTATGGTTGTTGGAGCCGAATCTGGTGGATCTAGACCAGAGCACGAAAAGTAAGTACAAGCACCTTGGAAATCCAATCAACATTTTGCTTGACCCCGTTAGTCTGGACCGCAATGTGGCAACCATAACGTAGAGACAAGAGTCGGGTTCAGCATTGCCCCCTACGCCTCGTACGATCAACGCTTTGGCTTCAAGTTATGGTCTCAGTGGGAGGGAGACTCCAGCTGCTCATCATGCATGTTGCCGCTCAGCGGCATCTTGCTGGTGGTTGCCACTTCTCTTTGCATGTAGGTGCCCATGCATGCAAGTGTATCTGGATCCCTGATAGCCGGGAAGTCTGGAACGTTCGCTGGACCAGCAGATTAAGCTCCCGCCTGCTTCTTTTGCCCCTGTCTATCCATGGCCGATGGAGCTAACACGTTAGTAAGCCGTCTGCAGCATGGCAGATAGTGTCGAATGTTGATCTTCGATCGGCGATGGCCGAAAAGATTGGCAGCCGACTACGGTCGAGACGGAGTCTCGACGGGAATTTAACGCTCGCGACTAAAAGAGAGGGTATCGTTGTTAAGCACTGGCCATGTCCCATCGAGAACTGGAGGTGGTTGCGTAGCTGTTGTGTTATGACATTGTCGCCCCCACCATGCTTGTCAACCTGACGTTTGAGAGTTAGTGCGCGATGGTTATGAAAAAATGGATCACAGGACCACTGGTTCCTGCCATGAAGGACTGTCCAATAATGGGCCCTTGAATGTGTGATGACGGTCAACTGTGGGAAGGGATGTGAGGGAAAACCACAGGAAAGTTGAGATACGCAGGAGAGGGCGCATCACAGGGGACCGCGCCTGGCAGGACACTGGCTGCCATTTAGTGTGACCATGTGTGCTTTAACACCTTCCGTGGATCAACTGTCTCCAATTTGAGCCTGTTGCGCCAGGGCTTACAGGAGTATGGTTGAACTCGAGAGAATTATAATACTGACGTCTGTCAAATGATCAAGCATCGACGACATTGTTCAACTGGACAAAAATTATTGTCAGAGATACGAAAGGCTGCCAGAAAGGTAGGAACCAACAAGCTATGAACTAAAGGCAAATACCTTTCCTGATAATATTGACCGGAAGCAAGCAGTGGCGTGAAGCAGGCATCACTGACTCGGTAGGTTAAAGTAGCAAGTAGTGTGGAAGAAGCCCACGGCACACACCAGGTACTCGTTGCGCCAAGCGCCCCCGCGTGATTATGTCAGTTAAAGCTTTGGGAGGTCAAACGAGCAAGCTCCTATTTTAGTTGAATCTAATCTCGTTTTCAATTTGTAATGTCATAGTATTGGGATAGATAGGTAAGTCGATAAAAAAGAATCCTGGTAAAGAACAAAGAAAACGCGGTGATTCAAAGGCGATCCGAACGTCATTAGTAAGGTACTCTATACAATTCGGAATAAACGGTGATTATTCGATAACGTAGCCCTCAGCAATGCTTCTCACATCTTTTGAGAATCCTGTGCTCTCCCCTTCCATCTCGAGTAGGGACACGTTGGTCACATCTACTTCGACGAAAGGACTGGCTTTGGAGAAGCGCACATTCATCGGGAAGAACTCATTTTCGTCCCCGTCGCCTGCGGATTCAAATTCAAAGCTTCCTGAAGCGTTGGTCTCGTCCACAGTACCGACGTTCCAGTCCAAACTATCCCCGGAGACCTCATAGACAGCGTCGAAGCTGGACACGGTAGGTTCTGTTGCACCAAAAGGTATGGAAACGACCACATCTCTCAGTGTATCCGAGCCTGTGAGCTCATACTCGATGGTTACAGTGGTTGAGTCGGAGCCCTTATTCACCCACACTGTGAAGGTGATGGGGAGAATATCAGCATTTTCTGACCCCGAGCTAGCAACGCGCCAACGAAGGACGCCAATTGAGTTGTTGGCCGGGAAACGCTTGGTCAAGTCTTTCAGCTGAATGGCTGAGGAGTTGGTGAAAACGGCCTTGTCAACATTTGGATGGGTGCGGAACTGTGCGCCATGTGTAGGATTGGCCAGCAGATCCAGCTTGAGTTTTGTGAAAGATGGGTCGGTAATACGAAGCTGGAGGTCGCCCTTCACCTCGAACGACTTCAGGGCACCTTCACGGGTAAGTTTTGCAGAAATTGTTTCGGCAATAGTGACATGGATAGGCTCTCTGTCGGCGGATAATGAGGCACGAGCGGATGGGGCCTTCTCGCCCGCCGGCGTGGAAACTTGGGGAGTCACCAACGGACTCGATTCCTCAACTTCGGGGCCCAGATCACCTCGAACTTTCTCGTAGATATCTGTGGACTTGGATTTCTTGCCAAGCTGCATGCCTTTTCCGCGTGTGGGCAACGGCCTAAGGAAATGAGCTTGATCAGCAACAGTCTCTCAGAGATCCGGCTAATATGGGATTAAGGCGTACTTCGCAAATGACTTCTTCTTCTCCGCCTCATAAGTATCGTATGTTTCGGGAGCAGCAGGGCGTGATGGAGGAGTGTATACAGGATAGGATGGAGTCCTGGGTGCCATAGAACGGCCACTGCGAGCTGCCTCCTTTCGCTGCATCTCCAGCTGCTTCGCCTTTCTTTTGCGCTCCTCGCTGGCTTCGAGCTCTTTGTTCTGTTCATCATTATCAGCAAGCTGCTGCGCCCGAAAGCCACTGTGTTATATACTCTTTCAATAATTTCCTGTATTCTCTCTTCGTGACTTTCCATTTCCAGGAATGTCTTGATCTGAGTAAGCGACAGATTCTCTCGGTATCCCAGCGTCACGATTTCGTCGAACGCGCTAAGCAATTCGAAGGCATTGCGAACGATCTCCCGCTCGTCCAAGCTCTTGCAAATGCTTGTGGTCACTTGGGCGAAAAGATGAAGGCTGTCAATGTCTTGAAGGATGTTGGATTGGCGGTTCGTGATGAGGACGATGTATAGCTCGTCAAGAGGTTGGTAGACAAAGCGAACATTGTCCTGTTCAACGGTCGTATGCTGGGTTCCGGAATCAGCGAGCTTTGGAAAGGACGCGAGCAAGGCTTCAATCCTGGAGCGGGCGATCTCCCGGAATTGACGCGAGAGCACTGCCTTGCCCCCCCGGGTGCATATTGATGCTGCGAGGACAACCTATTGGGCACTGCGGTCAGCGTATATTTGGATATATGAGAAAAAGGTAAGCACACCATGGTTGCCCGATTGTTGGGTATCAATGTCAAAACCGATGGTTGCTATGTAGAGGAAAGGGCTGCTTCTTCTGGGGGGTTGTTGTTTGGAGATATCTGCCTCATTATTGAAGCCGGAGTCGCTTGCTGTTCTCTTCGTCCCCGTTGGTCCGTGCATCGCGCTACCCCCTCGCTTACCGCAGCACAAGAAGCTTCTCTGCTTGCATCCTTCTATGGAATCCATCATCGTCGACCTCACTCTTTACCCTTCCTACTTCACTTGAGCGATTCAAGCTGGCCATAATAAAGGTTGGCTGGAGTTATTTTTTCACATCTTTCTCATTTTGAAAAGAGAAGTGGCTTTCTGAGGGCTCACTCTACCTTCTCGCCTTACGGAGCATCAGGCGCCACCGAGAAAGTTTTGCGCGTACCAGTATTAGCAACGCGAGACCTTAATACCCTCCAAACACCTATGCCATGACCACTACATCGTCACTAGCATTTTCCAACATGGAAGTTCCTGGTCTTGATGACACGATGGAGATGGCTTCTCCCTATCAGGGTCATGTGGATGATTTTGACATTGACCTCGATGTGATGGAAGACCACGCCTCAAATGCCGACAAGGATATGACTGCAGCCGACGATTACCCGGATACATTACAGGAAGAGGACATAGACCAAGATGGGCCGAGAGATGCCGATATGATGGATGACGCCGCCGAGCCGACTATGGTCGACGCTGACGATCAATATCAGGAGGGGAGTCACAATGTAGAGATGCAATACGGGATACAGGAGTCACATGAGGAAGAAATGCTGGAAGATGAATATGTTGATGATGCCGATGCTGCAGCCCCCGAATATCAGGAAGTCCAGGTTTGTGACAACACAGATAAACCAGACACACAAGAAGCGGGATCGGCTGAAAATGCCGTCACTGGCGATTATGGTCAGGAGCCTGCGGTAGGGGCTCATCCTGAAGCGAAACCAGAGCACCATGACGAAACTGGTCATGAGTTGCAGGGAGCACTCGATCAACACAACGACAACGCCGATCGGCAACCTGACGCGCATCAGCCTGAAAGCCCCGGAGGAGACACCATCAACAGCACTAACCAGACAGACCAAGTAGATTCCGAGTTAAAACCTCTTGATGCCGGGAAGACTGGTCCGAATCCAGATCATCCTGAGGGCGCTGATGATTATAATGAAGGCAGCGACGAGCACGCTGGCCAGGTTTCGCAGCCTGTTGAGGAGCATGGTGCACAAGGAGATGAAGGTACAGAAGAGCAAGCAGCACAGGATCTCAGCCTACAAGGGCCTGAACAAGGATTCGAGCATGAGCCTGATACGACGGGCCAGGTGACTCTGCATCCTGTCAAGGTCTATTATCAGGACAATGAGATTTCCCTATTTCCCCCACGCGAGGGTGATTCTTCGGAGACCTTTTTTCTCGAAGATGAAAGCCTTGCATACGAACCACTCGGGAAACTTTTCGAGTCTTGTCGCGAGGTCCTTTATGAGCATATTGGAGAGAACGAAATTCTTGTGCTAGACATTGAGTCTTTGAATTTACAGCTCATGGAGGTGAGTGTCTCACGCGTGTAACCGTTCTGGTAACAAGTGCTAATATTCTGATACAGGACTCCACACACGTCTCGAAGGTGACCTTACACCAGATCATCGATGTTTATCTGCGCCTCTGCCACAATGACGGAATTGATTCCCCAGAGCCGCTATATCTTACTTTGAGTACAAAGTTGACAATTTCAGCGGAAATCTCAGATCTGCTATTAGCTGCGAGCGAAGGAAAGGGGCTGTCTGAGATTAATTTGTGGGATGTTTACCAGGAAGATGATGAACAACTCGCGGAGGGCTCCGAAGCTCATGACCAAGAAGAAGAAACTCATGACCCAGAAGAAGAGCCCGTGTCACCAAGCCACCCAACAACCAACCAGAACATTGATGCTCGCGAATTGCAAGCTGCATCAGATGAAGCTGAGTCTCGCCATGATATACAGGACAATGGGGAGGCATCTCAAGCCCAGGAGCTCGTAGGCAACGACGCGGCTTCTTTGGCAAAGCAGAGCACTAGAGTTGCTCCCTCCACCAATGTCCAAGAGGACGAACTGAACGAAGAGGGAGAGGTTGAAGACGCCAATGATCCCGAGTTTGACAAGGATACCACTGGCAACGAAGAGGCAGCTCATGAAGAATCATACGATTCTGAAGAGCAACAGACAGATACAACTGTTACTATAGCTCATCTGCCTGGAGCCGATATGGACGATGAGCTGGAAGACAAAGATGGCTCTGCCAGCCCAGTGCATAATGACCAGACAGATCGTGGCCTTGAGAATGAGCATTCTGAGATCGAGAACAGTGACGAGGAGGATTCCGAACGGAAAAATCCTTTGGAGCTTGAAGTCCCTGAGGGTCCTGGAGATGGTGACGATGAGAGACAAGACAGTGGTTCCCTCGACCCTGTCGTCGAAGACCATCGCACAGAACAGTCGTTGGCGGGCCATGGTCTTTCTTCTGACGATGGCGTCGACAATGTTGAAGGACGTAGTCACGATCTTGAAGAGAGTTCCAGGGCTGGTGACGGCGACTATCTGCACAAGGATTCGGGATCACTTCCGATTTCGCAGGTACCAGAGAAACAAGAACGTGATACTCCGGATCCTGCCGACGATGCGCTTGGTTTCGTAGAAGATATGTTCGAGAGTCCTTCCAAAGATTCTAAGAACAAGGATGGAAATATCGACGACACTAGTGAATTTGGCGAGGACCATGATGAGTTTGGGGACGATACTCCAGCTGAAATTCCAGCCCAGCATGACGATGAGTTGCCACTCGATGATGAAGAGTATATCGATTTGGGATTTGCCGATGGGCTCGATACCGTCGACGAAAGCCCGGCCTCTGGCTTGAAATCTCTCGATAACGGAGCTTCGAAACGATCCCGCGACCCGGAAGACGAGTTTGATCTCGCTGAGAATCCCTCACCCGACCTCAAACGCTCGCGATCCTCATGATACCCCTACTCCCATACTCTTACTTCATTCATTCCCGTCCCCGCCATCCCTGAGCTCATTCAAACGCTCACACCCCTATCTAACAAATATACTCATATCTAGCAAAACCAGCGGTTCGTTTCGCGATGGTTGTCGATCGCATATCGGCCATATACTCTGGTATTTCCATCTCAGTCTAGGGAATTGACCGACAATGGAGAATTTGGCAGTCTTTTCTAACAAGGTACGTAACACTCTGGTCTTACGCTTCTACTCGTGTACACCCACTGTTCGAGTGTATTCCGAACTGCATTCTCCTGCTTTGAAGGCAAGCCAGATTTGGCTGTCACGTCAGGTTTGTATGTGATGTCATTTGTGCGTTTGAAGTGCATATTGTTTCTCGCATTTTGCTTTCATGGCTTTTGGCATGCAAGATGATACCTTCGACTCATGGGTCACTCTTGGGGTCACTGTGCGTGGGTTCTGCCATTGTGCACATGTCTATAACAGAGGACCTTTATTATTATTTTCGATAGCATCTAGCTCGGCGTGATGGTGTTTCGGTGCGATGGTTTACTCCGTTTTCGCTATGCTGAACGGTAAAAAATGATATGCTTAATCCTTTTCATGTTCTACTCCGAATCTCATAATTGTCTTGCGCTCGGTTTCCCCCAGGCATAGTACAGATATGCTGGCATCTAATGTAGTTTGCTTAATCTCTTTGCTCATGAATGGTGTTTGATGGTGGTCTTCTCCATGGTCGACAATGCTGCCGCAAGTAGTTGATAATGGGCTTTTGTCCTTGCATCTATGTCCTAAGGGGCTTACAAGGGGATGATATTGATGTCCCTACTTGCCAGTAAGCACTGAGAAATCTCTGTAAGGGGATCATGGCAATAATGCCAATAATGAGAAAATCCTGGACACCATTTTTCACTGAAGACAATGGATTCCAATAATCGCAATAATGATATCCAAGACGATCCCCTATATTCATGGTGATCGTAGTTATGCACAGTGTTTATTCTTAGCACTTTAGCAGCCATGTTAATTTCGCTACTTCAGGTCCTCGAAAGAAGCCTGTGGTTGAAACGCCGATCGCAGCCAAGGGAGGCCACGGGAAGGGCTCAACAAGATGAACGGCCTCTGAAGTAGGCTGATGATTGGATCGATAGATAATATTGGCTTGAATAAAGACGGGATCTATGTACTTGGTTAATTTGATTAGTTACATAATTGTGAAGGGACCTAAAGGAATCAATAATAATAAGTAATAATGTGAATAATAATCATATCGAAAGGACACTGTTGTCCTTTTCTCATGCGACAAGGTATGTTGGCTGTGCAGACAGTCTTATATATGACTGTTCCTGACCTGTGACTATGCAATTCTCGATCTATTCAAGCTTATCGAGTTCATGCATGTTGAGTAGAGTACATATGCAGTGAGTTGTACAGAGTAGATAGGTATTATTATCTAGTTTGATATCTAGGTAGAATGGTTCTCCCGCAATAATACCACTTTATTGACTGCCTTTTAGTGTAGGACGAAGCACCTCTTCCTGGGGTCATTTTGCCTTTGCCAATCACCTTGGATTGTCCACAATATTAAGACTTCTTGTAGATAGACCCTGTATGCCATTATCATCGACTCTGAACTGTTCTATTTTCTGATCTTGAGTGTGATTCCACCCTTGTGTACAGGACAGTTGTTTTGAATTTATTTTACCTCATAACTCTCATTATTTCCGTTTTGCCTTTTGGCTTGCCTCTTACGCGTCAATCCCAATCGCAGCCCCCGGTTCCGTCTTTGGAGGAGAGGAACCCCACCGCACGAGCGCAGGCACCAAGCCAGCGAGATCTGGAACGCCAAACTGTAGGAAGTCTCAGTCAAAGCTCTCTCTTCCATCGCAGGAGTTCTCGACCATCCATCATCCCCCAAAATAAGCCTGCAGAAAAGAAATTTTGGGCTGGCTCAAATTTCCTGCTGCCTCTATCCGTTCGTTCGCTGCTCTGCTGCGTGTTGTTCTGTTGATCCGCGGCTTCGTCTTCTGTCCTTGTTGGCGCGTTCCTGATGCTTCAGCCCTCCGGTGCTCTGTTGACCTCAACTTGAACTTTTCTCCAATATTCTCTCGCATTGGGATTCTTACTTGAGGAGGAGCAATCAGCTCCTGCAAATTCGTTAGGATGATTTCAGAGAAGTATGGTTTTACTCTCCGCGCGGCTTGCCGCCACTACCTGTCCATCAGGACAGTTCATCGCTAACAGGTTGATCCCTGGGATGCAGATATGTCGGCCTGCTCTTGGCCATTCTGTCAACAATGGCTATCGGTATGTTGTGCTCTCTTACCAAGGTCTTTGGCCTCATATTGACCCATCTTCCAGGCACAAGTTTCGTTATCACAAAGAAGGTTCGTTCGCCTCGCCTGCCGCCCGCAGCAAACCGACCTCATCCCCGATTCGCCCGCCGATGACACGAACTGCCACATAGAACGATATAGCTGATTGATCGCATCCAGGGGTTAATGCACGCTTCAGAAAGGCATGGGTTTGAAGGAGAAGGCTTTTCTTATCTCAAAAGTCCGATATGGTGGGGTGGAGTCACTACATGTACGAATGGCTGCGATTACTTCCAAAAGGGAGAGGATGGAGAGCTGACGGAGACCTACAGTGGCCATCGGGGAAGTTGCCAACTTCGCTGCATATGCCTTTGCGCCCGCCATTCTCGTTACTCCGCTTGGTGCGCTTAGTGTATTGATTGGGTAAGAAACACTGAGGTTGGACTGAGTCCTCCTGCGCCTGGCTGACCTACTCTCTCAAAGTGCCGTCCTTGGGTCCTATTTTCTGCATGAAAGACTTGGCATTTTGGGAAAATTGGGCTGCGCCTTGTGTCTGCTTGGCTCCGTTGTCATCGTTCTGCATGCGCCGCCGGATAAACCAGTCGAGACGGTTGACGAAATCCTCGATTATGCGATCCAGCCAGGTATGTCCTATGAACATCGCCCTTTTCCTTTCTCTCGACGGCTAGCTAGGTACAATGATTGACTCGTCTCCTAATGTTAGGGTTCCTTATCTATTGCCTTGCGGTTGCGATTTTCTCGACGGTCATGATCTACCGAGTGGCGCCAATTCATGGAAAGAAGAACCCCTTGATCTTTATCTCTATCTGCTCAACAGTGGGCTCCGTCTCTGTCATGTCCGTTAAGGCCTTCGGAATCGCTCTGAAACTCACATTCAACGGAAACAACCAATTCACACATGCATCGACATACGTCTTCTTGATCGTCACGGCTTTCTGCATCCTTACACAGATGAATTACTTTAACAAGGCATTGAATCAGTTTTCAACCTCCATGTAAGCTCTTGCGACTCCCACGAAGAAAAGCCCTGACGCTAATGGTGCTCATCAGTGTCAATCCTCTCTACTACGTTACATTTACAACCGCCACGTTATGCGCCTCCTTTATTCTCTTCAAGGGATTCAATACAAGTGATGCCGTCAACACTATCTCGTTGCTCTGCGGATTCCTCACAATCTTCTCCGGCGTATACCTTTTGAACCTTTCCCGGCATGATCCCGACGGGCGACATATGCTTAATTCGAAATTGGATGACGACGGCGTGCCTACGGATGGCATTGCCAGCTTCCAGACCCGGCGATCTATGCAATCGCGCCGGAGCAATGAGCCTCACCGTCGTTCGTCGAGCTTTGCTTTCATGAATGGGCATGGGGACCGCGAAGGGCTCATGCATTCTTACGATGTCGAGAACCAGGCTTTCGGTCTGTCAGAGTTGACGGAGGAAAGCAACGGAGAACCGGGGCCGACCTATAAACGAAGCGATGATATTGATCGCACCACTCAACATCCCAATAAGCATGATGAGCGATAGAACGTTACGAATCACCATAGTTGTCTTCTTATCTTCTCCAACCGTTTTTACTTTCTTTACGAACCAAAAAGACACTTCTGTAACGTTTTCCCCTTGCTTCGGTTTTATTATTTTCACAACTCGATTCATCCGTTATTTTTGCCGCAATCTAACTCGGTTTCACTACGGTCGCGGGATGCAACTGTACTTCTACTTTTCTACAAGCGCAGGATATACCAGGGTGAGGGTCAAGGGCTGCTTTTGATTGATTTGGATGTTCTTTGGATTCTCGTTTGGATGATTGCACCTTGGCTCGGCTCGCAGCCCGCCTGGTCGCGTGCCAATACAAGAACTGTATATACGCACTTGTGTCGACTTTGGGATAGATTTTGTATCAATGCCATAGGGCATTGATTATTTTAAGAATCCGAACTCACGTACGCAATCATGGCTACCCAGTTTCTGTTTACTTGATAGGAGAGCATGACACAATTGGCAGTCTGCTCAAGCACTGGGGTGCCTAGGTATGATGTAATATTACCTCCCGCCGGACAAAAGGTGGGTTGGCTTGGGTACGCGCAAGGTCAGCTGTGCGATTCATACCACACGCCCAACGCGATTCCTCTCACACATCTCGCGTTGATAATGCAGACTCTTGTAACATACTGGCATACCTGTGAAACTCAGCTGTACACCTTGAGTTACGATATCAAGCGGTGCTCTTCTTGACCCACACAGGTCTGGTTCGTTACATTTGCTCCCCGAACAGAGAGATCTATCCAGCGACATGCCTGGCTTGCTGCGCAAGTTGGTCATTTTCGCGGCTGTGGACGGTCTGATTCTTCAGTCGCATGGGAATGGAGGACGTAACAATGGCAGTTACGAGCCGCAGTCTGTCCGGATTGAATACAAGACGAACAAGATCTCATCTCTGTCGGCGCCGGCATCGGATCCCGCTGTGAGGAAAGATGCCGGACTGGAGGCTTATGGTCTAGTCGGTAAGTTAGTATTTTCGGCTACTATTAGTGATATTGTCCTCAGTCCCTGCAATTCTGAATACAGCGGAGCTTCTTCCCCTCCGGCAAATACAAATACTCGCTTGGGCACCAGCCGCTAACTGACCGTCTTAATTAAGGACTTTTATCCGTTGC